CAAATTACCAATATTGACAAACTAGAATATAAAATAAGGACCTCCTATATTTTCTATTTGCTGAGATATCACTACATACAGTGAATCAAACACAGTGGCCCCACCCACCTCTTTCCATCTTTGGAAATACTTGCTTACGTACACCTACTTTTATCTATGATGTGTGAATAACCAACTGAAAGCTCAGAATGTCCCCCTGGTGGTTTTCTCAGTCTCTAGAAGGTGGGAAGTCCCCTAGATTATTTCTTTGTCTTGAATCTCCAAAGGATGTGGTAAGTAAAAATGTTGTCCGAAAAACAATATTTTTTTTTTACTCGGATACAGTTTCTTTAGTAAGACTGATAAATTACAGTGTAATTCTGGAATATTGATAGAGTAATTTATAATATTTGATTTCAAACTGAAAATATAAAACCTAAAAAATATTTGGTTTTACATTCTCATTGTTTTCTATATTTCTTTATCTACTGTTCTATGTTTTAAGAAAAATAATTGAAATTTAAGAACTTATTTGTAAATAGTAATAATATATGCATATATATAATGTATTATAACTGAAATGTGACTGTATTTTACAAAATACTGGTTCACTAGAACAAACTGAAGACAGGTCACTTTGTAAAGGCCAGTTTTATACTATTGGACACTGTAACATGACTGCATATATGCCGCATTAATGGAACTTTTCTAATGTTAGTTAGACACTACTGAAAGATCAATGAAATAAAAAATATGTTTAATGATATGACACTTAAGCTATTTAGATTAAACATTTGTGGTTTCTTGTTATAATTTGTATTCATTCTAGAATGAAAAAAAGTGTAATTTATATCTATTTCCTAATTTTTTATGTTGGTCAAATTGAACAAACCCGTACACAGATACAATAGTGAAAATAACAGATAAGATATAAAGTTTTTTTAAAAAAAAACATTTGATAATTATCTGGTGGTTATAAAAATTTTGCATGTAAAATTTGACAATTTTCTGATGCATTAAAGTATTTTTAATCTTAAAATCAAAATTACTTTGCATGTTGGGTAGGCAACATGCAAAAAGAAAAAAATCATGAGCAAATCATTACTTAAAAAATCTTAAACTTAATAAAAAAATCTGAAATTTTGTGTACTAAAGCCTTGTAATGTTTACTGATAATCTGCAAAATTTTGTGAAGATATGCTTCCTGTATTAAAAGTTATAGTATGAAAACTATAACAAGCGCAAAATGGTTACAAGATTGGTCCGTGGGACCAAGCACATAGTGAGAGAGTTAATACTATACAAATTTAGCCTTTCTAATCTTATCAAGAGGTAGTACAAGTGGCTGCATTAAACAGTTTACTTTCTATATGTGGGAAGAAAAATTTATAAATGAACATGGAGAATTTTTCTCATATTGTTCAACATTTAAGAAAGCTCATACTCATACTCTTTAACTCATACTCTGATGAAGATAAAGCACATTTAACATTAAGAATTTTTTAAAAATTAGTTCACCATACGAAATGGTCTTTTCTATTCTCAATATTTAAAGTCACATGTACATCATATATAACTCTCATAAGTAAACAGTTTTTTGTTTGCTGGCATTTTCAGTTGATGTGTATTCACCAATAAAGAAGAAAATGAGAACTGTAAATAATATTAGAAACTTTTCTGGATTCTAGGTACTGAATACAGAAATTTGTTTTATATTCACACAAATCTACATCATATTCATTGGAAAACATCAGAGCCTGATAGTTCTTTACATTTTACATCAATCCTAAAATCCTTTAAATAAAAACACTTAATCACAAACTTGATATATCTAAATTTATATTAATTATTTGCTCTGAAAAATTACCTTCACTTAAGTCAAATTTCTTAATAAATCTTTAAGTTTTTATTAAGACATTATTTTCTTCTAACATTTGGACATTTCAATCATCTTTTGAATTTTTAAAAAATTTAAATCTTTGAATTATTGAAGAAACAATTATAATTTTAACTTTAATCCACCTACCTTTTCTAAGCTAACCATTAAAACATGGTGGGCATTTTTCTTAAGACATTTGAGTTTCTGGTTGATTTCTTAAAGTAAATAAAAAATAATAATTAACTTACACAGTAGAAATTAAACCTACATAAAAATCTCATTTATGTCTTAAACATAACACATTAAGAAATATTTAATCGTAATTAAATACACTTCATACATTTAGAATTATGAAAAGGAAAACTTGATTTAATAGAATTCTAGAAAAGTTCAATATAAAGTTGTAGAATGTTTGGGTTTGAAAATTTTTCAAATTAAATAAAACAAAGTTAAATACTGAATAAACTTTCTCTATGATTATTTACAATTAAAATTGCTAATGAAATACTCAATTTACTATAACTGAAATCTGTTGATTATTTTCATGTTAACCCATTTTTGCCTAATGCATGGTAATCAAAATATCTTTTGCTGCTTTGATTTGCACTGACGAGTGAATAAAAATGTCTTGAAAAGTTTATATTTCAGCTCAAGCCATACTGCAAAAATATCAAAAAAATGTGGAAGTCCATATCAGTAACTTAAATTTAAGTAAACCTGGTAATTTCATAAAGCAAAATTATTTAAATTTATTGTAAAAAAAATGATACTTTTTTATTTTTAGAAGAGTAGAGATAATCTAAAAGTAATACAATTAAGCTAAAACTGTGTCTTCAGATGTAATAGCCTGTTTTAACAAAATAAACCCTAATAAATTGGCTTGAGACATATAACTAAGTAAATCATGTCATACGTTCTTCCTACACACTGTAGAAAATAGTGGCCCTATAAAAAAGCAAACCAATAACTAATGTGGGTAATGTTTTACACACAATAAATCAGAGTTAAAATTATAATTAATATAAAGTGATTCCAGGTGTTTTCTTTTGTTTGTTGTTAAGAAAAAAGCTACACAATAGGTTAATTGTGCTTTGACTACCATGGGTATCAAACCAAGTTTTAACATTATAAGCTCTAAGACTTAATGCTGAGCCAATGAGGAGCTATTCCAGGTATATTTTAAAAGTTTTTTAAATACACTAAACATCTCTTCATGGGAACATTTAGAAAATATTTATGTTGAACAATAAATGGAGTTAAATTGTTGATAATATATGAATAATTCAATATGATTAATGAGCATCAAATTATATTAACTTTAACTGGTAAATGAGAACTCACTAGTTGAATACATAAAATAAAGTTAAGAAAACTAAACAGTGCTTCTCATTTTAATTCAATTATTATGTGTTTACAGAATGAAAAAGTAATTGTTGTTATATATGAAAGTGAGAGTGAATGTAAAAATAAAACTCTTTCAAATTATTTATTTAAAATTCAGCATTGAATGATATCTCCTGGGTAAATGGGTGTCTGTGAACAGATATGTAATGTTATTCATGGATCGGTACCATGGGGCATATCTATTAATAAACTATGATGATAAAAATGGTTATATTACTGACAAATAAAACCAAATAAGATATAAAGAGAAAAACTGATCTTGAGAATATAATATTTATGCCTTTTTTTGTTCAGACTTATTTTATAAAATGTACACCAGTATGTAATTAAACTCATTTATTTCCTGTGTTATTTTTTACTAGAACTAAGTTCCTGTGTCCCCGGGACAGCTTTCAGCTTTGAGTTTGTTAACCACTTTTCAGTTTTTGATTTTTTTTCTGTAAAAATTTTAACCTCTTCAGTTGTTTTGGAATTCTCAAGCTGGGGTCTTCTCTAAAGTTATAGTTGTTGCCTGCTTAATAGCTTTTCAGTTAGATTCAAGTGTGGAACTTTTTAAATGTGGAAACTAAGCAGCCATCTTCGTGTTCAGAGGTTCTTTTTTTTAATCACTCAGTTTCTCTTTCATCTTGTGTTCTAGTGTCTGGTTCAACTAATAGTTTTTCATTCTTAGATACAGTTTTTTTATAAGTTTTAAAACAACGGAATTACATTTAACTAGCAAAGATTAATATTCAAGGTTATAAATAACAATTAGTATATAAAATTTAGTGTTAATGAATGTTATTTATTGTAAATTATAGGCAGAGATTTTAGCATTAATGTTTGGTAATAAAAGCATTTTTTTACTTGCACTAAGAAAAATGAAAATTTGGAATTATAGCCAAAAATATCATTAACAGTGAAGATACCTGACTGATGATACAGTGTATTCTAGTCTTTGTAAGTAAGATTGGAAAAAAAGTATACTTAATTAGTTATAATCATTAGCAGGTTTTACTCTTGCTCTGATCAAAAGTTAATATTAATGATTATGTGTAATATGAAAGTTACATTTCACCATTAGTATAGCAGCCTTTAACAGTAGTAGTTACTAACAGGTATGAGACTGAGTATGAAACTGACAGAGAAATTTTCTGTTTATTGAGCAAGAACTTTTGACTGGAACAGCTAGCGAGTGACAATATAGTCATAATGATAAGGTCTAAGAACCTTAGTGACTATTTTTGTACTCATTTTATAGTGAAGAATGAAGACATCAATATTTATATCAAACTTATGATTGGGTTATTCATTACACCTTCCACTCAACACCCTCTTACTATTGCAAACTTTTCACCCTAATGGAGAAGCATCACAGAAGTAAATCAGTAAAAATACAACACACATCACAACACAGAAACTCACAAAATAGTTATGACAAAAAGAAAAAAAAAATTGTTACCAAAGGCAACCACAAAAAAATAATGAATAAAAAATGATTTGTCTCTTATTACAACTAGCATTTTGGAAAAATAATTTTTTTTCATTTTCTAGAAGCAATGAATTAATTCCACTTTTAGTCATAAAAGTCAGAAAAGGAAAAAACAAGTATAAGGTTACGAAGTTTAATTTTCCTTAATGAAGGATAAATATAAACCAAATTCTATATCAACTTTTCAAAAATGAAGCTGCTATATTTTATATCCAAAGTGATGTGAAATTCAAAAGTTTAAACACACCATTCAGCAGTTTGATGAGTCTACCCACATCTACATTGATATGCTGAATAAGCTCAATGTCAATAAAATCAGGGTTCTCCTCATTGGTTTTTGACAATTCTTCAAGCCTAGAAATAAAAGAAATTATACTTATAATGTTGTGGTTTTAGCTATTTCAACCTCAATCCTTTACTGTTTTAAGAAAATATTAACAGCACATACCACCCTTTCAAAAAAAGTACAAAAGTAGGTCTACTAACCTGGCAGATATCCTACTGAAAACAGCCCCAAAATTATTCAAGCTGAGGGCAAACAAAACTTTTGAAGCAAGGTTTTTGAGCTGGATCACCATTGGGTTTTCATTAGGCATATCTATAAACTAAAACAAAAAGCATAGAAGCAATGTAGTGTAATTTAATTAAAATATATTTTCAAAAACACTGAAATATAAAAAAAAATCAGTACTTTGGTTTGGCTATCAAACAATAAAAAAAACTTGATTTGGTTTTTATATCTTAAGTAAGTTTGACAATGTGAGCTTCTATTATAATTATGTTTGTAAGCCCTTTTAATACAAAGTAATTGAATTAAGTTTTAATTAACCACCTGTAGAATAGAGAGCTAACAACTTTTACTCAAAGTACTCTATTCTTTAGATTACTGCTACATTCTCACAGAAATTCTCAAAATATTGTTCACTCTTACTTTATGAATTGTCTTAATTAGCTCTATAAGCCATTCTTTCTCATGTATATATATACATACTCAAAGAGCTTCGGTCTGATATAATGACTTTCCACAATTTCTAACAATTTTAGGGTTAATTCAGGTCAAGAAAAAAAAAAAAACATGACAGAACAACACACACTTACTGTTGATCATGATTCTTTAATTATAACAAAGCCTTACCTGACACAACTCCTTTAAAAGTGCTTTAACATTCATTGCTTCATCATATCTTGTGGTTTCTTTAGGTTGCTGGAGGAGGAAAAAAATTAAGAATTTCAATTTGTAAATAACCTCCCAAATATTTGATAAAAATCCAAAAGAAGTTGTTCAACTTTTTAATACAAGTTGAAAATTAGTCTTACTGTCCAATAAATACTTCATCTTTAAAATGAACCAAATTTGAATTCTTGTTGAATAATTACAGAAGCTCACCTAAAAAAACATATTCAGATTACATTTATATATCCTTAATTTAGAGAAATTCTATTTCATTTATATTCTTATTTGTTGGGTCTTTTTTTGTGCAGATCAATCACACTTTTTCACATAAGAGTATTTATCATCACATGGTAAGTTCTTCATCCTTCAAATATACTAGTCTTTTATTATCTTTACTCCATTTAACTACGTGTCTAAACCTCTTCCTTTTTTACATGATGAATTTTAACTAACTACTAATAGTTTTCTCTTCATGTCATATTCTTAAGTTTCTAAAATTAGTTCTACTTTTTTATCAATAAAATTCAACAATTTTAATTTAAACCAAACACCTTGTTCAATGTTCAATACTCACCCCACTAAGACACCTTTCCAGTGTATCTAATACGATCAACTGAGACTCGTAAAAGTTTTTCTCAAATTCTTGTTGAATTTGGCCATGTGTGCGCTAGGAAAGATGAATAACTATTAGATTTTTTTTACAAAAATAAATTCCACCGTTAAAGGTTATAAAGCTTTCTATATAGGAAAACTTTAATTACACAGATTTTGTTAAGGTCCAACTATCATAACTGCTAAATCAAATGAAAAAAAAAAATTAAGATTTTCCATAAAAGTTTCTTCAGCCTTAACTTCCTATAACCCATGTATCTCACTGAGTAACATTTTAATTATCTATACAAATGAAGAAATAATAAACAAATGAAACTTACCATTTCATTAACAGAGTGAAGAATTCTTGTTAAACCTGATATTACCATGGAAAATTTGTACTTGCTTATATTGATTAGGCTTTCTTTATTTTGTTCAACATTGATACGGGAATGTGTGGTCTGCGGTCCACTTCTGCAAGGAAGCTAATAAAAAGTCAAAAAATCATTCATTAATCTTATCAGATCTGATTATTTTTAAGCAACTATTTTAGTTATAATTTTTCATGAAAAAACATTCAAAGAAAATTTTCAATCAATAATGGAAAAGCTAGGATGCCACACAGTAGCTAAATCATTTAGAACATTAAAA